AAAGCTCCGGTGATTAAAGAGGTTTTGTGGTGTCCCCCCAACACTGGTTGGATCAAATGCAAATGTGGTAGAGCCTATAACTATGAAACTCTCAAAGCTTTTTTTTCTTTGCAATGGAACAAATTAAAAAAGAGCACAAGGGGTACTCGCCCAATTATAAACTTAGAGAGTCACACAAGGAAACCCAAGGGGTTTGAATTCCATAAGAAAAAACTACAAGGCTGTCTAAAATTAGGCCTAATAGCCAACCAAAACCAAGATAACAGTTTGATTTCGTCCACCACCTCACCTACATGAAATATGTCATTCTTAAATAAGATGGAATTATGTTTACACCATAAAACCCAACACACTGTTAACCAAATCAGCGGCTTCCTATTACTAGGAATGTTCCATCCCACGCCACTCTAGAACCAACACAGGTGCTCCATAATGCCACCCAGACTTGGTTGAACCGAAACATTCAACCATGCCAAAATTCTCATCCAAACTTCTATCGACATTGGGAACAAAAACAATAAATGGTCCCTAAATTCCTCCTCATCAAAACATAACACACACTTGTTATCATTAGTGCATGATATCACCCCCTCTTTTTGCCAATTCCATCTTCGTCGCAATTCTGCCTCACAAATAGCACCAACCAAATACCTGGATTTTCGAGGGAACCATCATTTTCCAAATACGATCATTCGCCACCAACCTCTCAGCATACAAAGTATTTAACCCCACTTGACTCATCATGTACATATACCCTCCTTCACTCAAAATTCACCCTTCCTCCCTCTAAACCACACTACCTTATCTTCCACATAACTTTATGGTGCCACTTGGATAAGAAGCTCCTTCAACTCCTCTACTTGAGCCAAACAATTCCTATCGAGTGGTACCTGCACAAAATCTTACTTCCAGACCCACCATTTTCCCACCCATTCCTCAATATCACAAACCCTTCCATTCGGACAAACAGACAGTAAATACAACATAGGAAATAAACATCTTAATGGAGTTCCACCAAACCAGTTCCAATTCCAAAAAAAAAATCAAATTTCCCACCCCTAACTTCCATGACAAAGACTCATTGAACGCGTTTTTATTCTGATCACACAGTAACAACAAGTCTCTTGCCACATAGATGACTTATTCAAATTAGACAACAACAAACCTTCAATAATGAAATCCTCCAACCTCCCGTATTTGTGTTCTAAAATCGGTTTCCATAGCGCCTTCTTATCCACCAAACATCTCCAATGCCACTTTGACATGAGCGCCTCATTAGCCGCAGCTACAACTCCCAGGCCCCCATCCTTCTTTGACTTGCAGATATCAAACCAACTCACCTAGTTAATACCTATCTTATCCTCAACACCGTTCCAAGAAAGTTCTCTCTGGATTCTCACAAACTCCAACAGAACAATCTTAGGAGCCTTAAAAAATGATAACATGTAGATTAGAATTGAATTCAATACCAAATTTATAAGTGTAATTCTCCCAGCTGTTGATATAAATTTTCCTTTCCATGAGGATAATCTATGTTTCATCTTCTCCACAACCGGTTTCCGCACCATTTTCGATCGGTGATTTTCCCCTATGGGAATGCCTAAGAAATTAAACGGAACAACTCCTAATTGGCAGCCAAGAAAAGATTTTGCTGCCAGCAAGAAATCATGACCAACATTTATTCCAATCAAACTACTCTTTGCTAAATTGATGTTGAGGCCTGAAGCTAATTCAAATCCATGTAACAACGCCTTTATACACCACAAATTACTCCATGTTGGTTCCCCTAGTAGAACAATATCATCAGCAAATTGTAATAGCCGGAACTCGACTGCATTACTCACCTTGAAACCTCTTTATAAACCAATGTCTACCGCCTTCACCATCAATTTTGCAAAACCTTCAGCCACCAGAGTAAAAAGGAAAGGTGACAAAGGGTCACCCTGCCTGATACCTTTTTGCATCAAGAAATCCACCGTCTAGCTGCCATTAACAATGACAGATAATGAGCAATGACCTATACAAGCTTTAATCTATCTAATCCACATTGCACCAAGACCAAAAATTTTCAGGACATATACCAAAAAAAACCCAGTTAACATTGTCGTACGCTTTCTCGAAATCAACTTTCAACACCAAACATTCTCGTTTCTCTCTTTTGGCTTGGTCCAAAATCTCATTTAGGACCAAAACTCCATCCTGAATTTGACGACTACGGATAAAAGTTGTATGATTAGCCGATACCACCTCACCCAAAACTTTCTTCAATATGTTTTCCAATAGCTTTGCAATAATCTTGTAGAGACTACCCACCAAACTGATAGGTCTATAATCACCCAAGTGATGAGGATTTTCAACCTTGGGTACCAACGCAATAAAGGATGCAGAACCAACTTTAGGAAGATTTTCTTTGTTATAAAATTCAGACATTAAATCAAAACCATCACCTACCATTGTACTCCAACATCTGCGAATGAAACTGAAATTGAAACCGTCTGGCCCCGGACATTTATTTCCATCGCACTCCCATACAACATCCTTAACCTCATCCATTGAAAATACTTCCTCAAACATATTTTGACTTGCCACTGATATCTTAGGAAAAGAAACCCCATCCATTACAGGCCTAACAAAGTTACATGATTCCACAAACCTTTTTTCAAAAAAATATTTGATTGCATTCTTCACTCCCTCAACCGACACAACTCAACCATCTTCAGTGTCTACACCAACTAATGAATTCATATTGTACCTTGCTTTAACAGACGCATGGAAGAATTTTGAGTTACGTTCTCCCTCCTTCAACAAATTAATCTTTGGCTTCTGCTTTAAAATGCTTTCCTTCAACTGCAAATTATTCCAAAATGAATGTGTTGCCTCTGACTGCTTCTTGGACCATACTGCAGCCTCCACATGATCCATTGTTGCCACACCAGGATAATCATTCACCACCTTCAAGTCTTCCTCCATTTTCAAGTCCACCCACCCAAATTTCCTTATTCCAACATCGCAACTGATCTCTGGGTAACCTAAATTTCTCCTTTACCACAAAAGCCGCAGACCCGTGAATTACCATACTTTTCCATTCCTAATCAACAAAATCCACCAAATTCTCATGTTGGAGCCAACAATCCAAGGTTTGAAATGGCTTCGGGCCCCAATTCAACAAATTAGGTAACAACCACACAGGGTTGTGATTGGAAATGTTCTTAGTGTCAATCTCTTAACTAACTACTCATAATAACTCCACAAAACCTTCATAAATTAAGAAACGGTCTTACATGCTTAACGACCCCGACGCCCCACCACACCATGATAACTTAATTGGCCTAGTAGGAAGATCCACGAGCTCAGACAATTCGATAAAATTATTAAATTCAGTTGATTCCATGATCTATTAGCAACACCCCGCCCAACTCCTTCATTCAGAAATCTAATGACATTAAAATCTCGACCTAAACATCATTCACCAGCCTCCCACCTTTGTTTACATGTAATTACCTCTTCTCATATCTTTCTCTTCAACACGATATCACACGATGAGTAAATATTAACGAAATAACACAATTTCCCTCTAAAAATTGCGCTAATTCCTAACAACCTCCTTTTGACATTCTCTAAAAACCTCCCTTGACATTCCTTCCTTCATGCTAAAATTGTTGTTGTGATAAGAGCAATTTCTATTGCCTAAGACAATGGTTGGACAATAGTAAACAAATTCCATGTTAGTAGTCAATACAATATCCAACCATAAAATCATTTATTGAAAGCTTCGTGCAATATAGAAGACTTGTATAGACACAATTTCCAATATGATTTTTTTTCTTTTTCATATTTATAGAAGACTTGAATGCTGCTTAAAGAAATTTTGATTTTTTTTTTAACTTTTTCGAACTATGCCAAAACATTAAGGTCACTCCACATTACACTTTTTATCGACTAATATTCTAGAAGATTAAAATAATAGAATTTTTAAATGACAAGTATAAAATCTAAGTTTTTTCTTCAATTTTTCCCATATGACAATGGACAATTTGGATATTAACCTTTTTATTTTACATATTGACCGTATATGTAACTAAATTCTAGAAGTAAGAGTTTAATTATTATAATTATTATATAAATTGAATCATTTTATTTTGTGTAATATATTATAATACACCATTTAGATACCTTGGTCTGGGGAATCAATAACTTCTTAGGGAGTTTAATTTAAAATTGTGTTATTTCTTTTTATTTTGCCCCCATAAAAAGTTATTGCTTGTATGACATAGCCTATTAAAATATGAGTGCTTATTAAAAAAAAGTTATACTCTCTTTTAAAATATGAAATTTATCTAAGAATTCTAATAAAATAAATTAGTATTAAATTTATTTATTTATTTATTTATTTATTAATTTTTATCAATGATTAAACATTAAGCTATAATATAAAATATATCATATTATAAAAAAGAAAATCTTTGTAAGATTTTTATTCAGTCTTTGATTTTAATTTAAATATCAAATTATTTAAAGAAAATCTTAAAAGTTGTAAAAAATCATTTAGATAATAACAAATAATTACTAATAATACTAACATTAATGGTTTCAAGAAAATGCAATATGTGGTTGTCATTCCCTTATCGATAAAAAAATGATATGAATATTACCTTAAAAAAATAAAAAAATAAAAAACTATTTTATACCATTCTCTCATCACAATTCAATGTATTCATATTATTTTTATAGAATTAAAACAAAAACTATTTAAATAGAAATTTGACTGAAAACAAATCATATCATTTTTAATAAAGTATTTAGTTTTAAAAAATAACATATTACTATAAACAATAATTTGTTTTAATTTGTATACTATATTAATAAATAAAGGTTAGAAATGAAAGGATTTCTATTATAAATAACATATGGTTGTTGGTTTCATTTTCATATTCATTCTCTTTTGATTAAACAAACTTGTGTTGTATCTAACTCCTTTTCTCATTTTAAATCTTTTTACAATGTTGAAGTCATTGGCATTATTCGTTCTCATCTTGTGCACCACTCTTGTTGTAAGTGGTGCTAATATTGTACAAGAAACTTGTAGTAAGACTCCAAATTCTGCACTATGCATTCAATACCTAAATGCTGACCCAAAAAGCTCCACCGCAGATGTTAGTGGCTTAGCACTGATCATGGTTAATGTAATAAAGAGTAAAGCAAACATTGCGGTAGACAAAATCAAACAACTTAGTGGAAGTATTTCTGCCGATCAAAAGGTGGCACTTAGATCATGTGCTGATAAATACAACGCAATTTTGGTAGCTGATATTCCACAAGCAACTGAAGCTTTGCAAAAAGGAGACCCAAAATTTGCAGTAGATGGTGCAAATGATGCTGCTATTGAGGCCAATGGTTGTGAGAATGGCTTCTCTGGAAAATCACCACTCACAGCTGAAAATAATGTAGTGCGTGATGCATCTGCCATAACATCAGCTATAGCTAGGTTGTTGCTCTAATTTGTTTAAATCTTAAATGATTATTGTTTGAAATAATTATAATATAAAGAAATGATTATGTAATAAATTTAAACTTAAAATTATATATATTTTTCAAATAATTTTTTTTTTAATAAATAGGTAAGATGAGAATAATTTTCAGAAGAACTAAATTGGCCGGTTGGTAAAATATTGATTACTACACTAGCATTCTTTGTTTAAATTTCTAGACTAATAGACATGCATCATTAGATCATTTTCTGCATCATCTCTTATGATAGATCTCATCATATATACATAAAATTTGAACTTTATTAGATGGATTAATGTCCAACATGCTTCTTACTATTGAATTAACTTCTTCATGAATACTTATTATTTATTGTGTAACAACCCATTTTTATTGTTATCTTTTTGAATTTAACTTTTACAATCTTTGTGCAATTGATACTCATACTTTTACATCACTTACTACTATTTGACTTATATACTTGAACATATTAATAGTTCACACAACAACATAACTTGAGATAAATCTATATTTTCTTCTTTCTCTCCTAAAAAGGGAGAATTCATTTCTGTTCTGGACTGGGTCGGGCTGGCCCAAACGCAACAATAAAGGCCTAATCCAAACGGATTTGCTAGGGGTCACGCCGACCTAAGGACCACAGCTATGCCCGACATACTTCACTGGAGCAACATCCTCGACCTCGTGTTATCCAACTCGACCTCAGCTCGAGCACTCCAGCAGCGGCAGACACGGTCCACTACACTCTCTACGGGACCCCGAAAAGACCGCGTCCTTGTCCTCCCGCACTTCACGCAGGACATCCAGGAAGGGGACCACGTACGGGTCCCTACTACGCACGTAGAACCTGGCAGTTCCTCCATTGGGCCAAACCTGCCCGACACAGTGAAGGAACCTTGGCCCAGCGCTGGGGGCTATAAATACCCTCTGTTCCCAGAGGGTCAGGTATTCATTCTATCACATATACTCACACTCTGCCTGCTCGTACTCTTACTTACTTCAGCATCGGAGTGCCTTGCAGGTACCCCCCCCCCCCACCTCATTCAAAACTTTAACTCGGAGCCAGCCGTGACGGTCCAAGTCTGATCAGGTTAGATCATAAAGCATGACCTACAGATTGAAAAGATGAATTGAACTGGATTATGAAGGAAATCAAGATGGAGAGCAGCTCTTCTCAAGCTTGCTGCCACTGAGTCTACGATGTTTGAAAGTATAGGAATGATAGACTTTTTGAAAACAAAATTGATAAAAATAGTATATAGCACAAAATATTATAGATACGAAGTGTACATGGGTTGGTTTAGTAACAAGTATAAAGACCACATAGCAAAGTTGATGTTGGTTTAGGTGCTCAATTTATTTATTTGTTATTTTGAGGGTTGAATCTGAACAATCGCCTTATTATTAGTTATTTTTTTGAATTAATCTAAGTTTGGTTTTGTTATAAAAAAAATAAAGTATATAAAATATCAAATTCATTCTTCCTTTATTCTTTTTGTTCTTCATTTTTGTTATATACTCTCCCCGTCCTAAAATAAGTGTTACATTTAGGAAAAATATTGTCTCAAAAATATTTATCACTTTAAATTATCAATACAATTTTATATTTAATCTTTCAATTATACCATCTAATAAATACTCTTAATTTATTATTTTTCCACTTCAAATTAATGCTAATTTAAATACACTAATATTTAATCAAGATAATTGGGTAAAGTCACTATTTTCTATTTCATTTATTACTATTTCTTAATCTAAGTGAAATGATCAACTGCGACAAATAATATGAGACAAAGAGAATAATATTTATTATTTCATTTAATTTTTTATTTTTATATATTTTTCATCATTATAGTGTTATTAGTTATAATTTCAATGACTATTAAAATGAGAATGAAAGAAAACAAAATTAAAAATTATAGTGTTTATTGTGGAAAGCGGAAAAAAATTGATAGTATATTTTATGTTAAAAGACGTTAAAAAATTGACCTATTTAAATGAAAATTAAAAGTGAAAACTAGAGAAAAATGAGATTATAAAATTTTAGAATTTAAAGGATAAGATAATATTTTAAAATGAAGTAAAAAAATGGAGGCACAAAATTCTTTTTTATATTAAAACATTTTAATATAGAGAATCCTTTTTGGACATTTTAGAGAAACCTTAAGACGCTCTATTATTTATTTTTTGTTGGAAATTAATCAAAATTTATGATGAATTTCTATCAGTTTTGATGAATAAGATCATTATCACCACACAATAACAATAAATTATACGAAAGAAAGAATCAGAAGACAATTATTTTCTGCTGAGTTTCTCTCTGCCCACAATCTGAAGAAAATTTTATTCACTTGCAACTGCAAATTCTGTGAATACAACTTAATTGACTTAATTACAAAAATAGGGGTTACTCCCTCTATTTATAGATTTAAGTTAGTTTACTTCCTAAGTCAAAGCCCAAAATACCAATTTTGGAACTAAATCAAATCTATCTATTTTAGATCTAAAACAAATCTAAAACTAAATCAAATACGTGTGCAGCCTGCTTCAATACACAAGTTCTTCGATAGGTCCCTTCTTTTCTGTTAAGCAACCTACTTCGACAACGACTCCCCTTCGACACACATAGTTTCAACATCAAGGAATTACAATTTAACACACCACCTAATTCATTGTGTCTAAACTATCTATATTCATCATGACTCTTAGTCTTCTGAATATTTCGACCTGCACTCCCTTCGTCATGATATCTGCAATATGATTCTCAGTTATGCAGTATTCCAAGTTCATCTTTCCATCTGCAACCTGCTCTCGAAGATAGAGGAACCTCATTTCGATGTGATTGCTTCGACCGTGTGCTATCGGGTTCTTCGAAAGATTGATACATGACATGCTGTCGATCTTCATAGTAATTGCTCCATGATCTTTCCCTGTTATCTCTTCGACCAAGTTCACCATCCAAGTTGTTTGACATGCACAAAAAAAAGCAGCTATGTGTTCTGCTTCACATGATGATAATTCCACTAATGGTGTCTTTCTCGAACTCCAAGCAACTGGTGCACTATCTAGCATAAACATATATCCTACTATGGATTTTCAATCTTCAACATCACTACACCAACTTGAATCAGTGTATCCCACTAACTTGCATTCTTTTCCCTTATCAACTGCAGGAAATAAAATGTCATAGTCAAGAGTTCCTTTGAGATATCTTAGTATCCTCTTCATGGCTGCTAGATGTGATACCTTTAGCTTCTGCATAAATCTATTTACCATACCTACATTGTATGCTAAGTCAGGCCTTGTAAGACAAATGTATCTTAATAACCCAATAAGTCTTTTATATTGGGTTGGCTCGACATCATCTTCTTCTGCATCTTTCGTCAGTTACAACCTTGGTTCTGTAGGTGTCGAAGTCGAGTTACATTCTTTCATCTCAAATTTCTTGAGAATTTCTCCTGCATATCTTCTTTGAGGCATCATCAACCCTCTACTACTCTTTTAGAGTTCGATGTCAACGAAATATGAAATGTTATCCAGATCAAACATTTCAAATTCCTTGCTGAGATCACCTTTGAAGTCTTCGATCTCCTTCTTGCAACTACCTGTTATTAACAAGTCATCAACATCGAGATATAGTATAAGCAATTAACTATTTCTTCTTCTTACATATACTCCATGTTAAGTTGTGCACTTCACAAATTCCTTCTCCCTTAGAAAACTATCAATCTTCTTATTCCAAGCTCTTGGAGCTTGTTTCAAACCATATAGGGATTTATGCAGCCTATACACCTTTCTCTCTTCGTCATGTTTCACAAACCCAACTGGTTGTTTAGCAAAAACTTCTTCGTCTAAGGGTCCATTCAGGAAAGCACAATTCACGTCCATCTGACATATGTGCCAACTGTTCATTTCTGCTAGACCAACAACCAACCTGATTGTTTCTATTCTAGCCACAGGTGCCAAAACTTCATAAAAGTCGATTCCTTCTTTCAGAAGAAACCTTTTTCGCTACAAGCCTTTCTTTGTGTCGAGTTACTTCCCCTTCGGGATTCAACTTTACTTTGTATACCCACTTGACATCAATTTCCTTCTCGCCTTGAGGCAATTTGATAAGTAACCAAGTGTTGATGTCTTCGATGGATTTCACCTCTTCGTTCATTGCTTTCACCCGCTTCGAATCTTTCAATACTTCAATTGTATTAACATGTTCAACATCTGCATAGAAAGCATTATGAAACAACTCACCTTTGTTATCAACCACATCATCTGATGTAATCACACTATCTTGCAGCCATGTGTCTTTTTCTTTGAGGTCTGCTTGTACTTGGTTGATCACTAACCTCCTCTTGTCTAACTTCCTCTTGTCAAAATTATTTTTCAACTTAAGTTTCTTATTCTTCAAGTAAGATTCTCACTGAATCTTTCTTGAAATTTTTAGTCCAATCCTATTCTTTAAGTTCATCTATGATCACGTCCCTGCTGATCACAATCTGCTTATTCACTGGGTCAAAAAACTTGTAACCTCCTATCGAATGATATTCAACTAGGATCATTTGACTCGACTTGTCACTAATTTTTCTTCTTAACTGATCTGGAACATGTCTATGTGCAACAAATCCAAATATCTTCAGATAACTCAAGCTAGGCTTCACACTAGACCAACATTCTTCTAGAGTAATTCCTTCTAGCTTCTTTGTAGGACATCTGTTCAAAATATATCTTGCAGCCGACACAGCTTCACCCCAAAACTCTTTAGGTAAAAGCTTTCTTTTCAATATACTTCTCACCATATTCATGATGGTTCGATTATTCCTTTCTACAGTTCCATTCTGCTGTGGAGTGTAGGTGGCACCACCTCATGCACAATCCCCTATTTCTCACATGACTTTTCGAAGTCTTTCGACACATATTCTCCACCACCATCAGTTCTCTAAACTTTGAGCTTTCGACCACTTATCTTTTGACCATAGACTTAAACTTGGCAAATACC